TCCCCCCCCCCCCCTCGGTTTCGCTTCCTATGCAGTAATGTGTTTTTACGTTTGTGTAATAAGTTGAATGTTTACATGTGCGTATCTGCAAGATTATCTATACCAATCTCCCGAAGTGTTGCAGATGAATCATTTCCAGTAGGTTTGCTCAGAGATGAGTCACTTCTATCGATGCTATTGCTCTGCTTTCTTAGAGATGAGTCATTTCTACCGATGCCATTGCTCTGCTTTCTTAGAGATGAGTCACTTCTACCGATGCCATTACTGTGTTTTCTCAAAGATGCGTCATTTGTGCCGATGCCATTACTATACATTTTTAACGCTTCCGCCCGTCGCCTGCATTCCTCACACCGCCCGCTTATATCCTCACTCCTTCGTCTCGACGACTCGCTCCATGTTATCAACATTTCTCGGCTAACTTCCGGTTTCGTGTACACGTGATAGAACTTTGGTCCGAAAAGTCCCAACAGTGTGATCCAACCAATCAGAAGGCTCGAACCAGATAGCCAATAAACGCGGGAAATACTATCAGCGGAATTTAAGTAATTTGCAAAGAAAACGACCCAGACGACACAAGTGAGATACAATGTCATGCCAATGTACATGGCCTCGTTAAAGTTCTTGGGAAAATGACGCGTCAGGAAAGCGTACAAAGTGCAACCAAGAACAAGCATCATATTGTACGCGAAAATTGAAGCGAATACAGTCGCACTTGTCGTACATTCAAGAACTAACTCTTCTTTATCTTTATAAAACTTTTCGACTACCTCTGTAGGGTCGATACTGGAAATTGATGCGCTGTAAAGAGCGTTGATAACAACAATAACAAACGTTAGGCCCATCATAGGAGCGAGGCCAAGTAGCCCACCCGATGAAGCACGTTTAAGTTTGTTCGCTCTTTGAAAGATCTTATGAATTCGCCAGATTTTCATCAGTAGCGGTGCGTAACATATTGTGAAGGAAATGCCGGCAAGGATTCGCCGTGTGGAACAAATTCCCGGGGTAGGTTTCACCAGTGTTGTTAAAGGAGTTATAAAAATCGTTGCGATTCCGCCAAATATTACACAGCACATCTCCCTACCTGATGCTTTGATAAGCGGGTGATTTCTATACACAATGAAAGCAGTAAGAAATACGAAGTCAGTAATGATACCCAGTACTGAAAACACAGCCAAAACAATCGCTAATGGCGTGTCCATATTTATGTAAATCAAATCCATTTTCAAACACGATGATAAATTCTTCCCGGGGGTAAAACCCGGTACACATGCTTGGCACGTGTTATTCATAACCGCTTCATTCTCTGCGCATGTGCGACAAACCCAGCAACAGCCTGGCCCAGAGCCTGGCCTGTGCGAGACTCGAATTTGTCCATGCCCGCACGTAGGTCTACACGCGAACAGCGGTATGACAGCATTGACATGCGCCGATTGGACCACGGACTCGTTTAAAACCAAGTTCTCAGTTAGTGTATTGTTAGTTATGGCGGACCAAGAGCCAACGGGAATATAATCATACGAACCGTTGATGTAGCGATAATTATACACTGTATAGTTGCCTTCCACTTCCTGGCGAGAGTTAAATGAAGCCTTACTATGAGATAAAGCATCTTCAAAAGTAGTATTTTTTATATACTCTAACAATAATTGTGTTGATATTGGGCGCATTTCTGAGCAAATTCCTGTGATGTTAGGACAAGAATGTTTTTGTAAGCTGTTTAAGGCGTTTGCAAGTGCATAAACGGCATTTATAACTAATTGCACAGGAGCAAATTCTTTGTAAATTGCGTTGTTCTCATCTCCAGTGCAGTTTTTTGTGAAATTTGCAGGAATTCCAAGCTTGGGTAGATTACATTGATGTGTTTCCTGCCAATATTCGCCAATCCAATATTTATTGCTTCTTGTGTAGTTGTTGTAGCGTAACGCATGGAAATATTCCTCAAACTCAGGAATAGAACCCTGCCGATGACCAAATGTGAATGTTCCTTTGGCAACCTCTTCGTAATCTGCAATAAGGAAATTTGTTAGATTGTATCTGGCTTGGAAAAACTCAAACAGAACTTGTGTTGTTTTGTTGTTCATATTGTTATTGTGTTGTGTTGTCGTTCATATTGTTATTGTGTTGTGTTGTGTTGTGTTGTGTTGTGTTGTGTTGTGTTGTGTTGTGTTGTGTTGTGTTGTGTTGTGTTGTCATTCATATTGATGTTGTGTTGTGTTGCATTCCATCCTATTCTATATTCCACCATAATCACCTTTTGTAATGGTCTTGCGATTGCTCCAAGTTACTCCCGCCACGAACATCAGCTCATTTCCACGCGCGTTTCTTTTCTTTGCCGCCAACATCGCGCGAGACTCGCGCGTGGACGTGACAAGTATCACGATTTTAGGTTCTTTATCATCCGAGACCAACTTCTCTATGTATCTATCAAAATGTTCGTCAGTTGTACGAGGGAATATGTGTAATTGTGGCCCAACACAAATACCCTTATGTCTCATTTTGTCAACAAATTGAGCTGCATTAAGTGGATTCCAAACTTTTTCCGAGTGTACAAGACCCACATATCTCCAACCCATTCTCCCCAAGAACGCGGCCATTGCTGCGTAGAAGAATCCATCGGGTGCGACTGTTCGGAAGAAGTAGTTAAAAATATTCTTATTACTAAGTTCGTGAGACATGGCGCCATAGCTGATTTGCGGAATATGAAACACTCGTACAATATTCGCTACGAGTTTCGCATTTCTACTGTACATCGGGCCCACAACTGAGACCAGTTCAGAATA